CTCAGAGAACCCCAACGACTCCACAGTTCAACCCTGAGCTGCACATATTCGCTTCTATTGAAAACAAAGACTACAGACCCATGATGTAAAGTAGATGTTAGAAAAAGAAGGAAAATGAGGAAGGAAGAAAAAGAGAAAAAAAAACATTAAAACAGGAATGTTTTAATCAGAAAGCAAACAGCTAAAGCTGAATTGGGTCGTCCCCTTCTTGTTGTATCAAAAAACAGCCACAGGACAGAGATCTAAAGTCTGGGAGGGAGGTAAAAGCTCATGGATTAGATTTAGGTAAGTAACATTTGCCATCCAGCAGTCACTAGTTACAACTCCCATCATCCTTAGGAAGCACAGCCAAAACTGGGAGTTATGGATCAGTGACTTCTGGAGCATTACACATTTCTTGACCTTGGGCCAGATGTTGGAATGAAAGGCAAGAGAGAAAACTGGAAATCCTAGATCCATTTTCTTGGTTCTTTTCCGTGGGCTGCTGCACTCAGAATAAGAGAGTTGGTGGCTTCAAGGTCTGGGGTCTGGGGGGTCCCGTCTCTCTCCTCAGTTGTGTGGTGACCGTTCCTTTCTCTGTGGCAGGTAGAGCGCCTCCGCCAGGCCATTGAGGAACTCTACTACTTTGAATTTGTGGTGGACGACTTGCCGCTCCGTGGCTTCGTGGGCTACATGGAGGAGAGTGGCTTCCTGCCCCACACCCACAAGATTGGGCTCTGGACCCATCTGGACTTCTATCTGGAGTGGAATGGTGACCGCATCATCTACGCCAATGTCAGCGTTCGCAACGTCAAGCCCACCAGCTTGGATGATGTCCAGGGCGTGTTGCCCATCACTTATACGTACAGCGTCCATTGGTCCGAGACCAGCGCGGAGCGGCAGGGTGAACGTAGGGGAAGTCACAACGGGGATGACAGCTTCTTCCCTCACACCTTGGAGATCCACTGGCTCTCCATCATTAATTCTATGGTGCTGGTGTTTCTGCTGGTGGGCTTTGTGGTTGTCATCCTGATGCGGGTCCTCAAGAACGACCTGGCCCGCTACAACCTGGATGAGGAGGTCTCGTCTTCCTCCTCAGGAGATGACTTTGACCAAGGGGACAATGGGTGGAAAATCATCCACACAGATGTCTTCCGCTTTCCACCATGTCGCAGCCTCCTCTGTGCTGTGCTGGGCGTGGGCAGCCAGTTCCTGGCCTTGGGCACTGGCATCATTGTGATGGCTTTGCTGGGCATGTTCAACGTCCACCGCCATGGAGCCATCAACTCAGCCGCCATCCTCCTCTACGCCCTCACCTGCTGCATCTCCGGTTATGTGTCCAGCAACTTTTATCGCCAGATTGGTGGCGAGCGGTGGGTCTGGAATATACTGCTCACCACCAGCCTTTTCTCGGGTGAGGTTCCATCTCCTCCAGTGCTTGAAGGTTGTCTTCCACCGGTTCCATCTGGCTGGAGGTCCATTGATTGCCCCTTTCCTTTAGCCAAAGATTGAGACACTCTGGTCCTTCTCTGATAGTCTTTATGGCACATTCTTATTTGGGGGACTTTTTCCAAGTGGCTAATCTTGAGGATTCTGCTCTGCTGTGAAAACTCTGGAGTAGACTTAGTAACCGAGTGCCTTTAGCTATACTCTCTCAACCATGAGCTCCAGCCAGCAGAGGCAGTGGTCAGGACTTATGGAAGCTGTAATCCAAAACATCTGGGGATTATGGTTTGGCCTACAGCTGGGGTGTTTTTTCTTGTATCCCAACATTTCTTTTGTGAGTCAGCATTATGATTGTTCCCACCCACCCCCTTTTATGCCATCTTGCTGGGGAAAGCAGGAAGCAGTTCTGTACCCCCACCCCACCCCTGGTACTCTTCTCCTACTGCGAGGCTGGATCTCTCAGCTTTCTTTGAGGCCGTAATCAGAGGAAGGGATCTTTCTCCTTGCATGTTATGGTTTCTTGCCAATTGTATGGAGGGGCCCTGTTTCTAGAGTTCTCTTGAGAAAGGTATGAGTATGACAGGAAGAAATGGCAGAGCATTTCTGGACTTGGGGGAAACTGAAGTGCCTCTCGGATGTCCACTTCTGTTCTAGAGTCCGTAGTGATTCAAGCAATGAGGTGGATGGTTGAGTAGGATCTTTTTCAAGGATGTTACATTGGGAAACCTGAAATTATGGACAGGACGGAGTTGGGTTTTCTTGATTAATCTTACGGGAGTTCAACAGAAGCTGCCAGGAACGCTCTGCTTTCTTTTCTAGGACTCCAGCTGACAGTCTCTGATTTGCAAGTAAGGGGACTACGTGCCCCCTTCCGCCCCATTTGGGGAATCTCAAGGGCGCATGTGGGCAGCATGTTTATCCCTGAGAATTACACTGAAGAAGTTCGCCACTGTATAATTGGGCTTCTGATTGCCCCCTAAGGGCTAGAAACATATTTTTATTTGTAAGGTGTCGTAGGAGATCCCACGCACCCTGTAAGAGAGCCATGGTGTAATGGTGGTGAGTTCAAGGTACAGCTGGATATTTCTTTGATAACAGCTCTACTTTTCCAAACCAGTGTGCTGACTGTGTAATGTTTCTCTCTCCTCCCTTCTCTCTTCAGCGCCCTTCTTCCTGACCTGGAGCGTGGTGAACTCGGTGCATTGGGCCAACGGGTCAACCCAGGCACTGCCGGTCACCACCATCCTGCTGCTGCTGACCGTCTGGCTGCTGGTGGGCTTCCCACTGACCGTCATCGGTGGCATCTTTGGCAAGAATCGGGCCAATCCCTTCGATGCGCCCTGCCGCACCAAGAACATCGCCCGGGAAATCCCACCCCAGCCCTGGTACAAATCCACGGTGGTCCATATGACCATCGGAGGCTTTCTGCCCTTCAGGTGAGAAGCAGCAGGGGGGACGGGTATCTCCGTGCTCCTGTGCCTTAGCTTTGCTCCCTCCCTGGCTCCTGTTGATGGAAGAAGGGGGCCAGATCCTCCTGCCCATGGCTGCTTCTCCCTTGCCTGTGCCTAGACCGGTGCTCCCCTCCTTATTTTAGAGACCTTGAACAGAGGCTTCAGAAGATGCATGCCTCATTCAGTTTGGCACCAGCGGTGCGGGAGGTTGGGAGACGCAGAGTTTTAGGAGCAGAGGATGACTCTCACTGGGTCCCCCCTTCCTTTGCAGTGCTATTTCTGTGGAGCTGTACTACATCTTTGCCACCGTGTGGGGCCGAGAGCAGTACACCCTCTATGGAATCCTCTTCTTCGTTTTCGCCATCCTGCTGAGCGTCGGGGCCTGCATCTCCATCGCCCTCACCTACTTCCAGCTCTCGGGCGAGGACTACCGCTGGTGGTGGCGTTCCATCTTGAGCGCGGGCTCCACCGGCCTGTTCATCTTCCTCTACTCAGTCTTCTACTACTCGCGTCGCTCCAACATGTCGGGCACGGTGCAGACAGTGGAGTTCTTTGGGTACTCGCTCCTCACAGGTTACGTCTTCTTCCTGATGCTGGGAACCATCTCCTTCTTCGCCTCTCTGAAGTTCATCCGCTACATCTACGTCAACCTGAAGATGGACTAGCTGCCCTCCTCTGCTCTCCTCGGCTGGAGCTGCAATAAAGCTCTGTTTTCCATTGGTCAGGATGGATGTGGGTCAGAGGGGTGCCTTCCATTACAGAGCATGAAAGACATAGGTTCAGAAAGTCTGTTCACAGCTGGCATCTCCACTGAGCTCTGAAAACATAGGCTATTTATGATTTATTCTTTCCTTGGCTGGAATTTGGGAGCGTTTCCAAGCTCACCCTAGTGGCGCTTGCTGGAGGGCCACAAAGTAGGGGACAGGAGGCATTGTTATGTTCTCTCCTGCTGGTCAGGACAACTAGCCAATCAGTGACCTTCCTATGAGTCTAGCCAGTTAGTACCCCCCATTACAGGATTCTCCCCTTTGTCTTTTTAAAGTTAAAGCTGTGTTGCTGTAACTGAAGCGAATCATTTCTTTTTCTCCTTGCGCTGGGACCATTTGAGAGGGGTTTTTTTTCCTGTTGACTATATGATCCGGGCAACTGGTAGGGGCTACAATCAATTAAACACACATCTCTTTCTTCTAAGGGGTTCCCTCTCCCCCGCCCTCCCCCAACCATTCAGAAAGTGTGAAAATGTTTCTGCCTCGTTTTTCCTCTTCTCCAGAGTTCTTGCTCAGTTTCATTAAGAGATCCCAGCCAATCGTATACATATGTTTAAAAATAAAATACCTGACATACATACGTATAGAGAGAGAATGGTCGGCAGGCCGATCTCACAAGTAAAACTTATCCCAACAGCCAACAACATGTTTGAGGTTTTCCTTCTGCAGGATTCTGGACCTGGAAAACAATTTGGCTAGTTTCAGGGGGAGCTCTAACTCTTGGGGGAACTTGCCCAGCTTGGTAGCCTCTAAAATATTTTGGGTTTCATACTGGTTAGAGACGATGGGAATTGTAGTTGGAGGGCAACAAGTTGGGGAAAGCTGGCTTAGAGATTTCCTTCAACCAGGTACTTTCTTGGTGGACAGAAATACAAACTGCTCTTTCTAATGTTGGAGAGAATTGGGGGGGGGGATTCTGTGCAATTTGGGGCCGTCATCCAAAATGATTTTTTTCATGCAGCTTTTAAGGGTCACTGAAGAGACAAGTAGGAGGAGTCAGCTAATTATCTTCAGGGATCTATGCAAAGGACCTAGTGCAGTGTGTTTCAAACTTGGTAACTTTTAAGATGTGTGGACTTCAGTTCCCAGAATTCAGGGAGCTGAAGTCCACACATCTTCAAGTTGCCAAGGTTGAAAAACACTGATCTGATGGATTCCTGCCGTTGAATGTTATCACCTGGTAGATGGGACAGTTTCTCCTCCATCAAACGTCTTACTCTCTGTTTCGCCAAGACTTTTTCCTTTCTCTCTTCACGTCCTTTGTACAGTACTTGCAAGGTGTCTGGCTCTCTTCTAGTACGGGTGAGAGAGAAGCTCTCCATCTCCTTCCACCTGGGTGAAGAAAAAAATATATATGGAAAAAAAGTATATAAGGAATTATATATATTAGCAAGGATTGAAGTTGGATTATTTTTTAGTTTGATGTCTTGTTTTGGGTTTCTTTTTACAGATCTTGAAGTTAAATTTTATTAATAAAAAGAAAATGTAAAAACCAACATCTAAATGCAGATTTTAGGCGTTATCTCTACTGAATCGAGCCTGCTCCCTTATCTCTTCTGCCTCTCAAAAAATGGTGATTGAAACCAGCACTGTATCGACGCCCCAGACACGTGCCTTGTGCATAGGGCTTGATAATGGATATCACATCTTTTTGACTTTGAAAAAGTTTCCATTCCTTAAGACTGCACAGCGAGCTCTCAATCCACGTGTCCATTTACAATTCATTTAAATATTTACATCCTGCTTCTCCGAGACAGCCCAAATATAAGTCAACATACGTGATCGATGATATACTGTAGATGTTTGCCAGATCCTTTGGAGTTGGGCGGCTGAAATACCTTTTAAAAATACATTAAAAGGATAAAACAAATGTGCTGTTATAATAGCACCAGTTCCAGAGAAGTTATGGTATGTTTTTGACAACTTTTACCATCTCAAGCACACATCATTTTGTCTCTCATTGGATTTGCGTATCGTAGTAAGCCATTGTTTCTTTACCTGGTTTATTGAATAAGCCATTGTTTCTTTGGTTCTCACTACACGTTAAGCCATAGATCATAACTGAGAAACCACCATGGCTGGATAGGCAGAAGGTACTAAGATGAAACCAAACAACCTATATTGCACGGTGTGAACCCAGTTTGTTCTTTCCATGAAACTCAATAAACTTTTCTTCTGAGTAAACATACATAGGGAAACACTAGGGCAGTTTCTCACCCTTGGCGACTTTAAGATGGGTGGACTTCAACTCCCAGAATTCCCCAGCCAGCCTGGCTGGCTG